GCAGAGGGAGCAGAGGAATTGTGTGAGTTGCTTAGAATAGGAATAAGGTGCATTGCTGATAGTCCTCATGCTAGGCCTAACATGAAGGAAGTATTGGATTTGTTAATCGCGATTTCGCGCAGCCAAAGATCAGGATCCAGTCGTAGCACTTCTCCTTCATTTTGATCATTTTTTGTTTCAAATTACACAGCAAAGTGTCAATAGTTTTTTTTTTTCTTCACATTTGTAACATACACACATTACATTCTTCTTGTAAACAGTTCTTTTTAGATTCTTTGTTCAGGCACTCTTGTTTGTTAGGATCATAAGAGTTGAAATGTGAATTTAACTTTTCATTTTGCTTAATTAGAGTTTATGTTTTGTGCATCGTAAAGAATTCTTACGTTTTATCATATTATTTACGACAAGTAACTCTACATATCAAGTCCGATGTGGTAACTTGGACCTTGTTTTATAGTTTAAATTGCACTTAAGAGGAAATGAAATGTTAATCCAAGTAAAAGCAAGTGAAGGAGACCCACCAACCCACCTATAAGGCAAGTGTAAAACAAAGTTATGTTATGGATTAGTGCATGATTATGATGATCATCATCATAAATTCATAATTAATTATCTAGTACACGGAATTTGTTGTTAATTAATTAGGTCATAATCAGGTCTTGTAATTGCCATTTTTTTTTATAGTGGATGACTAAAAGAGATAAAAATGAGCACTTGAAAAAATACATGATTATTGTCCCCATAATTCAAGATTATCTACTTATAACAGTAGCTAAATTAATCAAAATTTAATGACTTACAAATAACATGGTGGGTTTTCCCCAAAATGGTGTAATCATGAACATTTAAAGTGGATGTAGAAGTTTAATTAAGGTAGCACTAATTGGACGTACTATTCTAATGCATTGAATATTTTTACTAATTATAAACCACCATGTTTAAGAATCAGGAAAATGATGGAAAGCATTAATAATTCTTTAAAGTGAAGGAAGGTATACATATTTATAGACTCATAACACTTTTAACTCTGCCACTATATAACTCATGGACCACTAACTCATATTATCATTTGTGACAAAAAAGTCCACGTGGCAAAATATACGAGAGATATTGGATATATAAGTAAGCAGGTCTTACTTACTATCAATGTGTTTTAAAGCCATACGGACCTAGATCCAAAGTAGACAATGTCACTAGCGGGATTGTTTGATGGTAATGTCAAGGAAAATGTGAAATCAACTAAATTGTACCGGGCTGTGCTAACACGATCCACTAAAAGTGCCCCCCAAAACCCCCAATGTTAAGTGGCCTTTAACAGGCCGGACCAAACCAGATCAGACAGATTATGAGGACTAGTGGACCTGGGGCCAATAGACCACCCTGGTTGTGAGCCCGGTACATGGCTCGTACCGTCTATAATAAGAGACTTAAAACTATTTAAAATTTGTAGGAGTGTGCAAAAATCGAACCGACCAATAAATCGAATTGAAAGAAATGTTATTGGGTTATCGCTATTGGGTTATTGTGTTAACGGGTTTTTAATGGTTTTATAAAAAAAAAATATTGGGTTATCGATTTTCAGTATAGGGTTATTGGGTAAATCGATAACCCATTAAGACAATAAATCGATAATAATTTACTACTATTGTCACGCCCCGAGCTACCCCTGAGACGCGGACACGGGACTTAGGACCACAAGTGATCCCAAGCTAACCATGTTGGCATGATCATGAGCATACTAAAGATAATAAACTGATGCGGAAGCTAAATCATAAATAACTCTGAAAAGATGGGGAATACCCATATACTATAACTGAGATAAATGAAAACTGATGAGTTTAATACAAAGAAGATATTAACTCAATACTAAGCTGAATCTAACTATGTCTGAAAATAGCCTCTAACTGACTAGAAATGCTGGGACATGCCTCAACTAGATCTAGCAAAACTGAAACTAAAGACTAAAAACGATAAAGATAAACATGTCACTCGTCCTCGAAGAATGAGGACTCACCACTAATGTTGTTGAATTGGAGACCGGGAACCGATCTAAGCGTGATCTGGATACTGAGAACCTGAACCTACATCACGAGAAGATGTAGCGCACGTATGCGTCAGTACTTGAAAGGTACTGAGCATGCAGGATAGAGTAAAACTGAAATAACATATAACTGAACAAAGCAATGAAGCAATGAAATAATATGGACATGATATAGCTACTGAAAATACTGAATACTGAGCTAACTGATGCAATGACCAAATTTATAATATGCTGAGACTGAATACTAACTGTACTGAAATATGGTCAATGCAATAGAGTCTGACTGAACTGTGGGAGCTACTAATAACCGACATAAAACCACATGAGCTAAATGTGGAGTCCAATGTATACGCCCTATCGAGAGGACCCAATATACCCGGCCAAAGGTATAGAGGCATGACTGGCGTGATCACTAAACTGATGTTGCCCACAGATGGGACTTACACCTACGTGGCTCGTAGTTCTGGGACTATATGGGTACGCTGAAACCCTAGTCCAACTCGGTATTATGCTACTCCCAATAGATTAAGTGGTTAACACATTATGACTGAGTTTCTATAAATACTGGATAGCTCGAAACTGAACATGCAAACTGATAATGCAACAATTAATCTAATAATGATGCATTCATAAACTGAGGCATGTGTAACAGAATATATTATGACTGAAATACTGTATAACTCAAAATACTGACATGTAGATACTCATACTTGAAAACCCCCTTTTTTGAAAACAATTCACCATTATATTATACTATGATCATTGATGACTTGGGAAGTCATACTGCATAAACATTGATGGTATATCTAGATACCATACTATTAATACATTGATGACCTACTCAATTATCATACTAATCATGTTTTAGAAGCTCTTTCTCAAAACTCATCTTAACTTTCTCAAAAACTCAGTTTAAAACTCAAGTGTTGTCTTAAAGAAAAGTTTCTCATGATTTATAACTCAAAATAGGGTTTATGCTGAAATATACTGATAATGTGGCATAAAACTGGAGCATGTATATCTGAATAACTGAAATATCTGACCTAGCATGTGTAATTCAAGAACTAATGAAATACATAGCTAGGGTTTTGGAATTCATGCAATAAACTGAGCAATAACATGATAATCTGATATAGAACATTTAAATAACTAATTCATGATGATCTGTTGAAATTCTAGAAACCCTAGGTCTGTTCATAATCATGGAATCAAGAATCTGACTGAATTTTAGGGACCTAATGGGCGAAATGAACCCACTAGTGAAATCTCATATACCTGGTGACGAATTCCACGGAGAAATCTTTCGATTTCGGGGCTGGAACTGAAGGAAACTTGTTGCGTTCTTGAACTAGGGTTCTTGACCTTTTTCTCCTCTCTTGCTTCTAATTTTCTAAGTTTGATTAATGATTTTGACTAAGGTAAGTTCTAGTTATGTTTCTAGGCTTAAACTGATTAAAACCTCAAGATTTAGGGTTTAAACGATGTATCTAAGGGGTTAAACGAAATAGGAAAAGACCAAAAGACCCCTGAATTAACTGCTGTCGGAGTGACTGACGGAATGCACCTACGGTCCGTCAATCAATCGACGGTCCGTCAATCAATCGACAGTCCGTCGATTGGGTCCGTAGGTCGAGTCTGCCCGACAACGCTTCACTAAAACGGGCATAACTTTTTACTCGGAGGTCGGAATTTAGCAAACTCGGTGGCGTTGGAAAGATAATTTAATTATCTATCTAACCATCGGTCATGGGACATATAATTCAGTTTGTGCTAAGAGTTATGACCATCTGAAGTTGACCCATCAATATTTTTCATCTAACTGGCTGCTGACCCTCATCTACGGTCAGACCTACGAACCGTGGATCGAATGACGGTCCGTGCTGGTCGATCCTAGTTTATGTCAGAGGCTGGTTAAGGGAAGTCTCGATCCACGAACACAGACCACGGACCGTGGGTCTGTCCGTGAGTCGGGACTTAGCCAAATTTTCTGACTGAGTTCTGGGGAAGTTTTCTGTCACGAACCACGGACCTGCAGAACGGACCGTGAGTCCATCTACGGTCCGTGGATGGTGTCCGTGAGTGCCACATGTAACACCAGAAATCTGAAATCTTAATTTTTGGATACGGGGTGTTACAACTATACCCTTCATAAATATTAAATATTAACAATTTAACATAACTATTGACTATATTAGTACTCTATACTACGGTCTACACATTCCATACGTCACAATACTTCCACTTCACATCTGAAATTTCATATTATATTTTGGTTGTAACATGTAATTGTTGCCTTCGTACTATATCTATTCTCATTGATGCAATTTCTCATTATATTTATTGTTTCACTATATCAAAGCATTTACAACTGATTGTTAGAAAAGTGAGAAATCATTTATTTATTTTATGAACATTTTCTTATTTTTCTTATTGGGTAAATCAAAAAATCGAACCGTCAATGACCAAAAACATATAAAGAATATCTTATTGATTTAGCTTATTTAAAAATAAAAAACCAATAAATCAAATCAATAATACATAAAATCGAACCGACCCGACTGATGCACACCCCTGAAAATTCGAAGTCCTAGCATCTAAGAATTAAGATTAATCTAAATAAAATTTCGTTTCGTCGAAATTTCTTTGTATTATCACAAAACAGAGATTTAATTAGAATTCACTATACTATTCTATAAATTCTAATCACAATTTCGTGGAAAAAGAATAAATTAGAAAAGAAAAAGACTAAAAGTTGTGAGGTGAGGACGTGGCACGCGCCAAAATGCTCGTACTGATTTGTACCAAGTGCACAATTAGCGCCTGATCATTTACTTGACAATAATACCCTTGATAATAATAATAATCTCCATTTTTTTACTCCAAGTATTCTAGTCAAGTTTCCATTCTAATTCCATGGCTGTAGAAACTAAAATCTGAATGTTAATGATTAATTAGACAGGGTAATGGAGAATGCAATTCAGCGTGAGTTACAATATAAACAGAAGATTGCTAATTTATTTCCAGATAATCATGATGCTATTGATGTTCTTCCCTTGGAGGTAGGTTTGTTACTTTGTTACATGTTGACATGTATCAATATTATATTGGTGATTAGACAGGATATGATGAAATTTCAGCTTAGCGATAATATGATTCTAGATAGGGGCCTGTGTAGTTTGCGGATTAGGATTAGGGTAGAAAGTTAGTAGGTAGTGGAGTGTTGTCTTGCTTTTTGACGGATTTAGATTTGGTGGGGTGTGTCGCAGTATTAGCCTTATTCTTCTACTAGTTTCTTGCTTTAGATATTTGTGATTATATGTTGTTTGTTTATTGTGTTTTGGTTATAGTACTATTTTATTGTTAATGTTCTTTTTATAAATGTGTTTTTCTCGTTATTTGTCATATTTTCTTTACTATCGTTTTCCCCTTTTCATTACTTTGATTTGTTGCACTTGAGCCGAGCGTCCTTCAGAAACAACTTATGTACCTTCACGAGGTAGGTGTAAAAGTTTGTGTATGCAGCTATACCCTTCTCAGACTTCACTTGTGTGATTTAATTTCACTAGACATACTCCACTTGTGTGATTTGATTTCACTAGGTATGTTGTTGTTGTAATTGAGGGGTGGGAAAAGGGAAATGAGGGGATTACAAGATTGAGGAATCGAACTCTCACCAACAAAGTGAAAGTTCATGCATCAACTGAGCTACTGAGATTTTCGACTGAATATGTCACTTTCTGGGCAATTTATCTATAACTGCTACTCCTCAATACTTACTACAATATGCTTGTCTTGAATTAGTAGGAGATTAAGATTTGGGATTTACTCTGCAGATCTGATAATTTCTGTGATAGATTAGTCCTTCTAATAGAACATCATCGTAAGTTTTAGGTAAAACGATGGAAAGCTTTGATTTCGAAGAGAAACATATCCACTAATGGAAGAACAGATTGCAGCCAAACAACAACAACCTGTAAATATGAATCTGATGAAGAAATTAATGCTAGAGGTAATTCATCTTTAATTTTCCTTTCTAGTTTTTTCACGCGTAAGTTGAACTAAGTTCTACTACTATCAGACTAATATCTGCAGAATGTTACGTTTATTTGCACACACAGTATAGTTTTATTGCTGTTTTCTAAGACTTTTTATCGTCATTCTGTCTAGGTAACATCTCAAGGAGCAATTCAAATGTAAGTGCTCAGCTTCCGTTAACTGAATTGTGTGAGTTAACTTAGTATATCTGATGTTGTGTGTGTCAAATGTTCAAAATCTAATAGAAACTATCCAAGTTTTAGGTAAAAAGACGTAAAGCTTTGATTTCCAAGAACAAGAAATCCGATGGTAGAGTAAGTGATTGCGGTGCACCAACTTGTATACACAATGAAGTTTCTCAGGAGACGTTAAAACATTTGGAATCTGATGGACAAAGTAAGTAATAAGTACTAATATCTACAAATACTCTTGGGTGTACTGTTCATTTAGGTTACTCTTGTAACAATTTTCTTCATCCTGATAGGTATCATCGTCAAGAGTATGACATCGCCACCACGTCCATCATTAAGCCCTACGTATACTTACTCACGTAGGAAGAAAAATGCAGAGTCCAGTAACTCTGGCTTTGTGTCACTTCAACAGCAGCATACAACAAACGTAATGCACTACTGTAAAGACTGTGAAGTTTTCTGCTCTGGAGATCTATGTTACGAGCAACACTTGAGAGGTAACAAGCACAAGGTAAAACTGCAATGCCGAGGTTATTCAAGTGTCAACGGGAAAAACAAGCAAGTTATAAGATGTGACTTGTGTGAAATTTACTGCCAGGATGAAACTTTATTAAAGATGCACCTTAAAGGTCAGAAACACAAGGCTAAACAACTAGAGATGGAACACGGAAAGAAGATCAAAGATGAGAAAGGGAAGCTATTGTGGTGTGAATTATGTCAAGTTCCATGCATGAATGAAGATAATTTCACATCACACCGCAATGGGAAAAAGCACCGGAGACAACTGTGTGTTCTTGAGGAGCTGAAGAAAGCTGAACCTCGAGGACTCTATCATGCCTAATTTTGAATCCACACAACAGAACTTGAACGCGTCACTAGGGTGTGAAGCTTGCCAACAGATTGTTGAATTTCTTAGATGATTGAAAACATATTATACAGTAGCATTAATCACTTACATGTTCAAACTAAGAAAAATATTGATGCAATATTGTTTCAAGTACTAGTTTTATAGGTGTTAATCACATTTCAGGTGCATTTTACTATGTTTTAGGTCTCATTGTTGTTAGAATTTTAAAAGTTTTGTTTGTGCTGTTTACTTTAGTCTGAATATAAATAAGTACTAACATAAGAATTTTAATATGTATAGGGGGTGTAATAGGTCGTCAAATTAGCTTGAGTATGAAATCGACATTTCGAGATGTATTTTGATGTCTTTTCCCAACTATATATAGTGTCAAAGTCATAGAGTAGTACTACTCCCTACCCAATTTAAGTCTATCATTAAACGTCTGAAAATAAATTTCAAATAATTCCCCAAATGACAAATTTTCAGTTTTTTTGAATTAGCGTCTCCAGTTAAACTACTTGCCTAGTACTTTTTCCTTCCTTTTTTAAAAATTGAATAAATAATAAGTATACATTTGATTAACACTATTTATATATTTCTATTAACACTATTTAATAATCTAGACATGACTAAACCCTTTGAGAAATTGTCTGCTTATTTGCTAACATAGAGAGAAGTACCTAATTGATTTAAATTATCGTGTTCTATATTGAATAACCTCTTTCACTTAAAATAAATAAATATTGTGTCAAATGAAAAAAACATCAACATAATTTGGATAAAACGATTTTGCCAAAAGTAGAAAAAGATTGTGTGCAGTAATCTACTATTCTTTCTATAATAAGAGATTTCGAGTTTAAATCTTAAGTATGAATCTTGGTATGGAGTCCTTCCCTCCGAATTGAATCCTACATAATGTAAATCCAAATAATCGAACTATAATACGAGTAGGGGCTACAATTGTTTTGCCCCTACTTTTCTGTCGGGAGTCTTTTAAAAAAGAGAGATGTAACTTATCTAAGCCCAACCCATACATACCTTTTCTCTTTTTGGGCCCAATGGGTGGACTCCAAAAGTTTTTTTTTTAAAGGCGGAATGACTTGGGAGACCCTTGTACTTGGCTCCGTTTGTCACTTGGACCCTTCTACTCACGATTTTGTCAATTGAACACTTAAAGTTATTAAAACACTGTATTTTAAACCCCTCTGATCACGTGTGTCTCCCAATCGTGCTGATGTGGATAACACCTCACTATCCACATCAAAAATATATTGCCACATCATTTTTTTTAAAGAAATCTCAAACTAATCTCCAAAATCCTTTCTTTTCTTGATTTCTTTCCATTTTTTCTTCTCTTCCCATATTTTTCATCTATTTTGCTACTAATCATTTTTTTTCTTACCTAGTGAATCTTTTACGTTGAAGAGGAATTAGAGAAAAGCAAAGCTTTGTTATGTTTTTTATTATAAATTTTGTTATTTTAATGGTGATGAGAAATAAGGTGACTCGAATGGAGGATGAGAGAAAGAAGAGAAGGAGACAAAAAATGGGTCATTATAGAAAACTCTTCAAAAATGTTCTCAATAAAATTGTCTTACATGCATTTAGAAAGAATCTTAAACATGTCTTTCAAAAACCCATCTAAAATTCGCATCTATTTCACAATTTAGAACCTCTTTCCCCCCTCTCTTTTACCCAAATTTAAATAAATATTTTTTTCTCAATCATTATAGAACTCTCAAATGATAGGTAGCATATGAGAAGAGAAAGAGGAAGAATTGTGAGTAAGAGTATTGGAAGAGATTGAAGAAGATGTGTGTGTGGTGATGGTGGGGGTTGGGTGAAATTATGAGGAGGAAGAAGAAGAAACGTACAACATATTGGGAAAGGGGTTTTTTTAGTTTTTTTTTTAATTGTTATATTTTTCTTTTATTTTTCTTTTAAAAAAATTAAATTGTTGTCTTCACTTGTTTTAAACGCGTGTAACCACTCTCTTGATCTGATTCAGCAAAAAAAAAAACACCACATAAGCTTAGTCAACAATCAAAGGGGTATAAAATAGTGTGTTTGAATAACTTTAAGTGTTCAGTTGGCAAAGTCGTGAGTAGAAGGGTCTAGGTGACAAACGGAGCCAAGTATAAGAGTCCTTCATTCCGCCTTTTTTTAAATAAATCTTCTTTTAGCTAAACTACCGAGAAAAGGATCAGAATTGTCCTCTATCTTTGAGTTAAGAATTAAAGTAGTCCTTGTCTTTTAGCATGAAGGAGTTTTAGTCCTCCATATTTCAAGAATTGGTATATCTTTAGTCTTCTTCCAAACACCGTCTATTTTTTTAATCAATTGCGGAGCAGTTTGATTTCTCCGGTTGCTCTTGACAGATTGAATTCTTGCCAAAAACTTGCAGAACTTTAGGTGTTAGCTGTATTGAAAGCAAATCAGCAAGAATAAAAGGAGAAAGAAACATAGGAGTTTTCTCTCACGAGCAAAGAAAACGTTAAAAAATAGACGATTGTTTGAAAGCTGACCGAAGGTATAACAATTCTTGAAATTAAATATGGAGGACTATTAGTGCTCTATATTAAAAGATAAGGACTATTTTGATTTTTAACTCAAAGATAAAAGGATAATTTTGATCATTTTCTCTAACTACCCCACCAAGTTTCTTTCCAACTCTCATTAATTCGATAATAAATTAATAAATTATAATTATGCCTTTTAATATATAAAGTCATCCTCTTAGGATATGGTTTCATATTTTTACTTATCAATGTCTCAAATTCTTAGTTATTATATAAGGTTTCAATATTTTTTTTTAGAAAGAAGTTAGAAAGATGCCGATTCATCAATTTAAGTGCATGATTTATTTGATTTGTTATATTATTTTTAAGTGATTTTTATTGGAGAAATATTTACTGGAAATCCTAATGGTTAAATCAATATTGAAGTGATGATAATCAATAACTGATAATTGAAATTTTAATAATTTTATAATGATTTAACATGTCTACAAACCAATAGCTAATAAGTCGAATAGATAAACTCCAAATTAAATCGATCGATACACAACTCTACTGGCTCGTACCTTATTAATTATTATTAGTTCCGTTCCACTTCATGCAATCCTACTTTTTTTTCTTTTAACTTCTTGAGATTATTTTTTTATCCCTTAAGTCGAAAACTTATCGACTTCTGACATAGAAATAAAATATGTTTAGTTTCTACCTTCCTAAACCTTACTTTATAAGACAATACCAAATATGTCATTGTATTATTAATGAAAAAGTTGTATAAATCCATAAAAATGTAATATGTTTAAGATGATAAGAATTTATAATTTTACAAATATTATGATTTTATTAAAAAATTTAAATTTAATTTCTCCATGTTTTTTTAAATTTATTAGTAGTATTATACGGAGTAGAAATATGGGAATTTTAGTTTGGATATCAGTGGTGGGGTCCATTAGCCTCATGCGTAACGTAATGTCGACGCAATAATAAAAATACCAATTACAATTTATTTTATTTTAAAAAAAAAATTACTTACTTTTTCTTTTATTGTCATTTTTCATTGATGTTTCTTTTCCGATATGATACATAAACATGTTTTTTTAATTATTTCAGTTGATATTTATGTCTTTCAACCTAGTATGTGTATAATTACATACTTAAATTTGTATAAAATTGAACAAATAAATATATATTCTACATGGCAATTCGTCTGAGATACTCCCTCTGTCCCTTTCTAATTGTCTAATTTTGACTTTTTACTTGTCATTTTTTACAAATTAAAAAAAGACAATACTCCCTTTGTCCCTAGTTACTTGTTCACTTTTGAATTGACACACCTATTAAGAAATTAATTAATGACATAGTGAGTTTACCATTTTACTCCTATTAATTATGAAATGGGTGAAAAGTTCTGTATTTTTCAAAGTAATTAGTCATTTAATTGATGGTATAATAGGTAAAAAAAATTATCCTTTCTTGATTTGTCAAAAAAGACAAGTAATTAGAGACAACTATAAAAGAAAAAGTGGACAAGTAATTAGAGACAGATGGAGTATTTTTTTACTTATTATACCCTCAATTTAAGGATAGAGAGTACTGCACTAGCTTTTATTAATTAAAAAAAAAGAACCTCTAAGGTGATTTTTTATTACCAAGATTAGGATATTAATTACGATATATTTTTGTGTTTTAATTATTGATATTAGCAAAAATCCATATAAATTTAATACCAAAATCCTGTATCCCAAGATTAAATTAATCTAGGATATCCTTTTTTTTTTTGTCGAAACAAATGATTACGTGGAGAATGTTGCATTTTGTTTGCCTTAAGTTACAATTCTAATTTTGATTAAGTTAGTGATTAATTGATTAATTCGTGATAATGACAAGCTGTGATTAAATTACATTTAATATTCTTATTCAATAATGCTAGTAACAACTATATATACTATATAATAATAATGTGGATGTTGATTTATCATCTCTTAATTGACAGTTGATACAACTACCAACATTTTCTATATTTTAAATTTCTTTATGCTACTCTTTGGTTTGATAATATTAATAGTTTACTTCATTAGGCTAATTTATGATTCTTTAAAGAATTGCCATAGCATTATATTAACTCAATTTAATGCTGATTAGGCTAACTTTTCAAGCTCATTTATTGGGTTAGCATATGATTAAATTAAACTAGCGACAAGTCATAATAGTTCTATACACCTACTCTAATTTGGTTTATGGCAGGTCTAAATTTAGGCTATCGGTTGTGGATTTTCGAAAATTTTGTATGTATATTGAAAAATCTATCAAATATATAAGAAATAGTAATTGTTAATAAAACAGTCACTTGATCCAAGAATAGTGAATTCACTTGAGCTTAGTTGGCCTTCTGCATGGAGGTTTGATTCCCGTTGGACATATATAAAGAAGTTGTCTTTTTCTTTTTAATTTGAGATTATTGAAAACTCATAAACATCAAATCTTGAATTTGTCTCAAGTCTAT